TGGAATGTCCCCATTTAGATAGCTAAGTAAACGTGTGTGTGTGTGTGTGTGTGTGTGTGTGTGTGTCAGGCCGTCTCTAACACTTGTGCACTCACTTCTGTCCTCATGTCTTCTCTGTCCTGTGGTGAAGGACCTCGCGCCTACAAAACTTTAGCATGGACTAGTGCAGTAACTTTGATGATTATATTACATATAGGTATAAAGTGACTTTAACAGTAAAATCATCTAGAAAGACTTGCTATGTAAGCTTGTAACTATTGGGGATCTTTTTACATGGTTTGCAATCAAGTTAATCAGTCTAGGTTGTTTGTGTGATACAATTCGGTTTCTTTCTTGAAACTGTTATTGAGGTTGAGTAGATTTGTTTGGTCATAGCACCTCTGGTGGTCATTTTAGGAAAAGTAGTTAAACGGTTATGAGCATATATATTTACAAATTTAATTATTTTGTAACACAAAATAATATAATTTGAAAGTAAGAAAAGACCAAACACCATTGGGCCTTGGGTGAGGAATTTCACTTTATGGAGAGGGGGGAAAACTTTTTTTTTTAAATGTCTTTTGTATTCCACAGAAAAAAAAAATCAAGCCATACAGGTTTGGAATGATATAATGGCGTGTAAATTATAAAAATTTTGGGTGAACTATCCCTTTAAAATACATCAATATGCCAAGACACAGACTCACTTCCTGTTCTAAATCTAGTTGGATGGAATCTCAAATCCACCAGGTACATTGATCTTGGTAAGTCCCAAGGAATGAGAGTAAAAAGTATTTTATTCTAGACCATTCTGTTCAATATGGTTCAAATGTACGCTACTAGTGCTGCTAGAGGGTTTGAGAGACTGACCTCAAATTTGACCAGATGGCTTCAGAATCTACCCTATCCTGCCAGATTTCATAACTTTACTATTTAACAACATTTACACCTTATAAAGTAAGTTACTTATCATCTGTCAGTTGGCAAAACATTGCAAAAAGGTTCTTCAGTTAAAGTCAACTTGAAATCAAAACTGGCCCTATTTATTCGGTTAATACATTTTCTAAGCCATTGTGCACAATTCATGGATGCGTGTTTTTATCTTCAAATATTTGTCTTCATAATCTTTAACTCTCCTCCTACATCTGTAATATATAGATCACTTTCTTAAACTCAATTCCCAATGGATAAAATCAAGTACCACCCTACATTTATTTGGATATCCTGTAATGCTCAGAAATGCATCAAATTATGGATGTAAAAGTTGTGACTACGGTTTCATATTGACTTTAATATAATGACCTTTAGTATTGATTTGAATAAGCTGTACTTCATCTGAATTTTGTTCTCTGAACAAAACAGAAGAGTAAACCTTTCCTACAGCAGTAATGACAAATTAAGCTCATGTAGCGTCATTGTCAGAAAATAAGAGAAAACTAGCCAGATGGCTCCCCCATGTGGTACATATCAGTAAGACATTCAACCAGGGTCATTTCAAGCTCAGCAAAAATGTGATATGCTTTGTTCAAAGTGTTAAAAGAGGACAATATACAATGTTAATAGTGTGTATGTTACTGTACCTGAAGCAGTAGTGGGTATTTCAGCACTCGCTGCATGGGAACCACAAGTAAGTCTCTCAAAGTGAATTTCCCATTGTTGGCTCTCTTCGAACATTCCTGCAACACAAAATAAACTGAATCTGGAAAACAGAAGGCTCTACAAAACCTCAAAAGGAAATTATCTTTTAGCTCTTTGAGTAAGGGAAAAGCACATTATAAATATTATGATTATGAAATGAAAATGAAATATTATAAATATGACAGAAAATGAAACAGTGTTTTTGAACCTCTAGTTTCAGTCGAACGCCTTCGTTGTCCTTACAGATGAAGTCTAAGAGAGAAATGGCTGATTCTACATGACCGCAGTATTTTCCATAAAGTAGAAGCCTAAAGCAGACGGCAAATGTTAGCAAAAAACACACACATCAGCAATGCTTAGTAATATGATTCGAGAAATATTAAATATTAACTAGTCCTGCAGAAATTCAATGAAAGCTCAGCAGATTTCCACAAAATTTGATTATAAACAAAAATCTGTCACCCCTTGTATGTTTAATTTGTTTTTCTTCAATATAATTGCTGTTTTAAAAAACATAAAATTCACACAAAATGTAACAAAATAAATCAATCAATCAATAAAATATTGGATAATTTGATTACCATTTTGTCCAAACTAAATTTTGTGAGGTTTACACTTAAAATGACGCCACTGTGGTAAGAAATATAAATGTAATTGTATGCCAACGTGTGTGTGTGTGTGTGTGCGTGTGCGTGTGCGTGTGCGTGTGTGTGTAATTAATATAGTATGGTATAAAACAGTATATAATATATAATGTTATATTTATAAATAATGTTATATTTATAAGTAAAAGTAATATATATACAGTGGGTACGGAAAGTATTCAGACCCCCTTAAATTTTTCACTCTTTGTTATATTGCAGCCATTTGCTAAAATCA